ATTTTAGAAAATACATTCACTCATCAAGATGATATACATTATCTATATAATGGCAGATTCAATACTCTCCGCATCACTACTGTCAATATCCACACTACTAATCTCACCAACTGAACTCCTTGCACTAATTGAGGGTGTCGTTGAGCTGTAGTCGCTATCATCACTTTGTCGAAATGTCCTTCATTGGCCCCTCGTCGAGAAGTAGGAGCACGGAGGCGTATTGCCTTGAGCCCTATATGAATGTTTGCACCACCTCGCCAAAGGTCGTGCCATATTTGACTACAAGTGGCTGAGTTCGTCGCCCCGTTCGAATCGTGTTGCCGCACCTTTTGACAAAGATATACCTTCCCTCTGATGTCAGTACTACCACCTCCCCTTCCTTCTCTTGACCTCTCTGCAGAACACTCGACGCAGTAGAATGTTGTTTCCCACGGGGGTTTTCTAGGCTGGAGCAAGAAGCACACCTTGCACCCATACTGACGGCGCTTCTTTGTTTCCTGTCCATTATTGGTACGCGTAGTGCGGAGCACATCAACTTGCTTGGTAGTGTGGTGTCCTGGTAGCGTGTATCGTGGAGTTGGTTACGGAGGCACTGGCGTTTCGGCCATTGCCTCGACTGACAAGTCTCCTTCAAAGTCTGCGGCGCCTACGCTGAGCAGCGATTGCTGCATCAAACGCATAAATTCTGCATGCGTCGTCGAAGCCCTTCTGCGTTCACTTTGAACGCGTCGGTAAATAATGTACGCGTTGTACAGAGCCATGTCGACCTAGCCCAGGAAAATAGTGTGATAATACTTCCTCATTTTCATTACAGCCTGAACAATACAGTATAAATATTCTTCGTTAATTAGTCTTTCATGGAGAGTAAAGTATAAGAAAAAATAAATAATACCTGGATTGAATATCTCTGCAAGCGCAATTGGTCATGTACGTCTGCTCACCGCATGCCGTCTTGATACACTTTTACCAGTTCTGGCTCAGGGACATTGACAACCTCAGCTCCCGCTCGGCGAGACATAGTTGCAGGAAGAGTACTGCACCCTGTGGCAATGAAATGCACGGGGCGGTTGTCCATCCAGGATACAGCTATCATCCTCGGTTCTGCCTTTGACTGAACGATGCGGTACGATCCTCGCTCCATGGACTTCGGCCGGTGCGCTTGCTTGTACGGGATAGTTTTGCAGTACCCCCTTCGGTTGGTTTGAATGTTGCCAACATGGAAGAGGCCGCGTTGTAGTAAAATGGACGATAGAAGCACACTTGAGTAGAAATGGTCGGTGATAATCAGCCTTCTTTTTGGTAGTCCTTCTAGAACGTCCTCCACATTGCGAAGAGCAGCATTGGATCCTTCAAGTCTGCACTATCACTGTTCAGCCTGCCTTGATAAATTTCTGCCCTGTACAGGATAATGCACACAAATGTCAGCCGCTATCCTGCATTGTACAGACTACCGTAAGGTCATACCTGTAGTAGTAGTCACTGTCGGCATCACACGACAAGAAGCATTTCGTACCCCACGGGTGGGGCTTT